TGTTATGCACCAGAGAGCTGGACAATGACCAGGGAGGACAGAAGGAAAATTGATGCTTTTGAGCTTTGGTGTTGGAGAAGAGTGCTGAGGGTGCTATGGACTGCTAAGAAAACAAACAGATTCATCCTGGAGAGGGTTAAACCGGGCTGCTCCTTGGGGGCAAGGATTCTGAGACTTCATCTGACATACTTTGGTCAGACGTTGTAAGGAGAGACCAGTCCTTGGAGAAAGAAATCATGCTTGGGAGGGTGGAGGGCAGGCGCAGGAGGGGAAGGTCCTCTGGGAGATGGATTGATTCTGTGGCTGGGGCAATTGGGATGAGTGTGTCGGAGACAGTGAGACTGGCACAGGACAGAGCAGAGTTTAGAGCTGTTGTACATAGGGTCGCTATGAGTCCAAGCTACTCGACGGCACAGAACAACATATTTATATATTATTGTGTAAGTATTAAATGGACCTCTAGTGGTAAGGAGTTGCACTGCAATGCCAAAGGCACATGGTTCAAATCCACTAGCTCGTCTGTGAAAGATGGGCAATCAACTCTCAAGCTATTTTTAATATATATTATATAATACTTGAACTACATAATATATATTGAAAATAGGTCCTCACTACAAGACCAATAGTCATCATTATAATGGATGGAGAAAGGATTGAACCTGTCAATGATTTAATTTTGCTTAGATCAACAATCAATATCCTTGGTACCATGAAATTAGGAGACATATTGCATTGGGCAAGTCTATAGTAAGAGATCTGTCCAAAATTCTGAAGAGTAATGATGTTAGTTTGAAGACTAAGCTGTGCCTAATTCAGGTCTTCTCAATTAGCTAGTACACATCAATGAATAAGGATGATAGGAAATGAAGTGATACCTTTGAATTGGGGTGCTGGAGAAGAGTACTCAATTTAACATTTGTAACACATGTAAAGTGTGAGCAGTGGGAGTTTTTTTAACTTGCTAATTAAATACCAAAAATCTGAATCTGAAATCATTAACACAGAATTGTGGACTGCCAAAAGAACAACCATGTCTTGGAAAAGGTGCAGCCAGAATGCTCCACAGAAGCAAAGATCTTACATACTTTGGCCATGTATCTAGGTGAGGCTATTCCTTAGCTTTCTTTCATGCTTGGAAAGATGGAGGGTTGATCAAGGAGAGAAAGACTCCCAAGCAGATGGATTGACAAGCTGATTTCAGTGATGGGCTCCAGTGTGTCTCAGATGATGAGCATGGTACAGCAGCAGGGTTTAGCTTGGAGAATTGTAGAGTCACTATGAGTCATACTTGAAGGCACCTGACAACAGCAGCATATGTATTACATACCCCAAAGGCAGCACCTGGCTGGTGATTCAACTCCTTCTGGGACTCCTCTGGAGAAAGGTGGGCAAGTCTCCTCCCATGCAATTTGCAGCCTCTTGACTTTGATCTGTGTAAAAGAACTATTCTTTAAAAACATCTCCAGATTTTTTCTATCTCAAAAACTGAAAGCAAACCTCTTGACTTTAACCAGAAAGTCTCTAATATATGATGAAGAGAGGAAGAGGGGAGTAAAAATTAATAGTTAAGTTGGTTGAAAGGAAAGGCAGTATCCAGTTAGGGGTTGATTAGACATTGCACTAAATTAACCACCAGCAATTAATGTTATAAAGTAATAGCCTATGAATGCTGCCTGCCTCTAAGGAGCGCACTGGCTGCACTTACTAAACGTGCTGTGTTATTGTTGTTATATGCTCGAGTCACTTGCAACTCATAGTGACCCTATCTATGTACAAGAGCCCTAAACCCTTCTCTATCCTGTGTCAACTTCACTGTCTCCAATACACCTACACCCATTATCCCAATCACTGAATCGATCCATCTAATCAAGGGTCCTCTTCTCTTGCACTATCCCTCCATCTTCCCAAACATGATATCCCTCCCCAACGACCAGTCCCTCCCTGCAACGTGCCCAAAGTATATCAGACAAAGCGTCAGAATCCTTTCCTCCAAGGAGCATTCTGGCTTCACCCTCTCTAGGACAGACCTATTTGTTCTCCTGGCAGTCCATGGTATATTCAACACTTTTCTCCAGCACCACAGCTCAAAGGCATCAATTATCTTCCTGTCATCCCTAGTCATTGTCCAGCACTCTGACGTATAGCACGCAATTACAAAGACTATGACCTGGATCAGGCACATTTTAGTTTCCAGCCTGACATTGCTCTTCAGTACTCTGGAGAGGGCCCTGACAGCTGACTTTCCCCAGTGCAATTCGTCTCTTGATTTCCTGGCTGCTGGTACCAAGAGTATTGATTGTGGAGCCAAGCAAACAAAAACTGTTAACAATCTCAATCTCTTCACCATCCATACTGATGCTGCCAATTGGCCCAGTGGTGAGAATCTTTGTTTTCTTGATGTTGAGTTTCAATCCATGTTGAAGACTGCAGTCCTTGACCTTCTGCAGCAAACGTGTAGGGCCTTCTCAGTTTCAGCAAGCAAGATTTTGTCATCTGCATAACGCAGGTTGTTGATGAATCTTCCTCCAATCCTGGTGCCACTTTCCTCCTCATGCAGCCCAGCATCCCAGGTGATCTGTTCTACATACAGATTGAAAAAGATATGGAGACAGACTACATCCCTGGCAGACACGCTTTCCGATTTTGAACATGCAGTGTCTCCTTACTCTGTTCTGACGACTACCTCTTGGTTCAAGTATAGGTTCTGCATAAGCACAATCAAGTGTTCTGGGATTCCCATTCTTCTCAGAGTCAGCCACAGTTTGTTATAATCCACACAGTAAATGCCTTTGCATACTCAATGAAACACAGACATTCCACTGGTACTCTCTGCTTTCTGCCAAAATCCATCTAACATTAGCTATAATATCCCTAGTACCACGGGCTCTTCTAAACCCAGCCTGTACTTCTGGCAGTTCTCTGTTGACGTGCTGCTCCACTCATTTTTGGATCATTTTCAGGAGAATAGTGCTTGCAGGTGATATTAATGATACTGTTCAATAATTTCCACACTCTTTTGGTTCACCTTTCTTTGGAATGGGAACAAATATAGATCTTTTCCAGTCAGTTGGCCAACTGGGTTATCTTCTAGATTTCTTGGCACAACTTAGTGAGCACATCTAGGGCAGTGCCTGTTTATTGAAATATGTCAATTGCTATGCCATCAATTCCTGGGGCCTTGTTTTTTGTCAGTTCTTTCAGCATAAACACAGCAGGTGGTTTTCAGGCTTCATGTGGTACAATGTATGTACCTCTCTGTATGTAACGTATATTGGCTTAGGGATGCTGAGCCAAACCATCAGATTTTCAGTCCTACTAGATTTTCAGTCTTACTAGTAAGTGACTTTGGGCAAGTTTCTTTAACCTTCATTAAGCCTTAGCTTCACCATCTCTAAAACAGCGATAAATAACTATAAAGACAAACAAGTTAACATCTTAAAAATAGCTCCTGGCACAGTGGTGGTGCTCAGCAAGCAATAATTGTTATTCTTATCATACTTGCTGTCTTGTTGGTAAAGTCTAAACCCATGCAAAATACATGGTTTATATTGTCACTGTTTTCACAGAACTTTTTACTGAGCAAATGCGTTTAGGCACTGTAGAGATTTCGGTAGAAAATAAAGCTTTGGAATGAAAACTTGGAGTTTACACATAGTGTAAAGTCAGAGGAAGTTTCAGTTCTTATAATCTAAACTTTAAAGGATTTCATTATTGGTTTTCTTGTGTATCATTATGAAAGGTGGTTCTTTCCAAACAAAAGCAGTGTTTATGATTTAATGTATATATTAAATGGCAACCTTTATATGAAGGAACCTGGTACACAAGGATTAAGCACTCCACAGCTAACAGAAAGGTTGGTAGTCTGAACACACACAACATCTTGACTGGAGAAAGACCTGGTGATCGATCCTGTGAGAATGACAGCCTAGGAAGTGCTATAGAGCAGGTCAATTCTGTCACGTATCTGAGTTGGGAAAGGAGGGATTGTCACTGAGAATAATGACTCGATGACAATAAACATCATATAGGAAGTCTGTGCTTACATCTAATATTACCTGTTATCTTCTTTCTTCTCTTCAGTGTAGAAACCCTCAACATTTACTAAAAGCAATGGCTTTGAAAATATTGCTGGAACAAGAGAACGCATTCTTCACCATCATAGTGCTGCTAGCCTACTTGGTAAGTAAACCCTTCTCTTCTGTTACCAGAATGTGGTGAAATAGTTCATCAAAGAAATACTGTTTTAATGACTTCATACATGTGTTACAACTGTTAAATTGAGATGAAGTAGTGAAATTGTAACATTACTTGTAGCTATTCAAACCTGGAGTTGCAATAATTAATACTTTGGGAAGTATATTTGATGATCCAGGGTGTATTAAAAGAAGATGGAAGAGTATACAAAGTCATTGTACCAAAAAGAATTGACAGACACAGAAGAATTTTATAAAACAACATATGAGAAAGAGTCTATGGTGATGAGGGAAGAAGTTCAAGTTGCTTTGAAAGAATTGGCAAAATATAAGGCCCCAGGAATTAATGGAATACCAGTTGACATATTTCAACTAACAGATGCTGCCCTAGATGGGCTCACCAAGTTGTGCCAAGAAATCTAGAATATAACCACTTGGCCAACTGACTAGAAGAAATATATATTTGTCCCCATTCCAAAGAAAGGTGATCCAACAAAGTGTAGAAATTATTGAACAATATCATTAATAGCACATGCAAGCAAGATTCTGCTGAAGATTATCCAAAAACAATTTGAACAGCACAGCAGAGACCTTCCAGAAGTGCCAGCTGGGTCTAGAAGGGGTCGTGGTAGTAGGAATATAGTAGCTAATCTTAGCTGGATCTTGACTGAAGGCAGGGAGTACCAGAGGAATGTCTGTCTGAGTTTCATTGATTATGTAAAAGCGTTTGATTGTGTGAATCACAACAAACTGTAAAAGCGTTTGATTGTGTGAATCACAACAAACTGTGACTAACTCTGAGAAGAATGGGAATCCCAGAACACTTTATCTGCTAATGCAAAACCTGTAGTTGGACCAGGAGGCAGTCGTCAGAACAGAGCAAGGAAACACTGCATGGTTCAAAATTGGGAAGGGTGTATGCCAGGGATGTGTCTATCTTCCATACCTTTCAATTTATATGCAGAACAGATTATCTGGGAGTCTGGGCTCTATGAGGAGAAATGTAGCATCAGAATTGGAGGAAGATTCATTAACACTGCGTTATATAGACAACACAACCCTGCTTGCTGAAACTTAGGAGGACCTGAAGTGCTTGCTGCATAAGGTCAAGGACTGCAGCCTGCAAAATGGATTGAGGCTCAGTATCAAGAAAACAAAGATTCTCACCACTAGGCCAATTGGCAGCATCATAATGGATGGTGAAGAGATTGAGATTATAAACAGCTCTAGTTTGCTTGGCTCCACAATCAACACTCTTGACACCAGCAGCCAGGAAATTAAAAAAACATATTACGACGGGAAAGTCTGCTTTTAGAGACCTCTCCAAAGTACTGAAGAGCAACAATGTCAGTCTGGAGGCTAAGGTGCGCCTGATACAGGCCATGGTCTTTGCAATCACTTGCTATGTGTCAGAAAGCTGGACAATGACTAGGGAGGATAGAAGGAGAACTGATGCCTTTGAACTGTGGTGTTGGAGAAGGGTATTGAATATACCACGGACTGCTAAGGGAATGAACACATTTGTCCTAGAGAAGGTAAAACCAGGCTGCTCTTTGGAGGCAAGGATTCTGAAGCTTCGTCTGACATACTTTGAGCATGTTGCAAGGAGGAACTGGTCCTTGGAAAGGGACGTTATGCTTGGGAGAGTGGAGGGACAGTGCAGGAGAGGAAGATCCTCTATGAGGTGAATTGTTTCAGTGAGTGGGGTAATCAGGGTGGGTGTGTCAGAGACAGTGAGATTGGCACAGGATCGAACAGGACGTAGGACTATTGTACCTGGGTCACTATGAGTCGCAGGTGACTCAACGGCACATAACAACAACAACATGGTAGTGATAGTATGTTGGGGCTACAAGTCTGTCTCATGCATTACATCCTAGAGCCTAAAAGGAAATTCTTTTTTTTTATTTTTATTTTTTTTCTATAATTATATTTTATTAATTTTCATAAACATTTACAGAGATTTTGGGTTTCCATTCATTCATTGTTGCACTATTCTCTCTACCCTCCTCCCAGTTTGTTCTTGTCCAAATGCCACAGTGCTTGTCAAAGCCAGTTCTGATTAATCTTCTTTGTCAGTGTGTCCTTTGCCATTCCCTATCACTCCTCCCTGAGAGAGACTTCACCCTGAGTCATAAGGAAAAGGGGATGGCGTATTCTCTTAGCTACTTCCTGCTGAAAAGGGATGCTGTGGGTTTCAGGGTGAAGATCTTCTCTCACTACTCTAAAGGGCCCCTTTGGCAGTAGGAAGCACATAGACTATTATGGAGACTGATTTTGGAATTTAGATGCACTCTTATTGATTGGGCTTGGCCGTACATGTTCATATCCTTGAAGATGTATCATGGGGGTGTTGCAACCTAGAAGACACAAATTTGACTAACAAGTTATAAGTACATGAGTCCAGAAATTATGGAAATGTAAAAGAAAAGATTCTTTCATTGTTTTACAAACCCTCCCCCAGGTCCCCTCCACCATGTAGCCCTCGCTCTAGTCTCCTGTGATGACAGAAATACCTAGTTATATATCTCTTTTAAACAGTTTTCTCCCTCCTCTGTTTCAGTGCAGTATACATTATTGAACCCATCTTACTCAGTCTCTCCCCAACCCCAAGGACAGTCCCATTCTACAACAGTGGCATCATGTAATATTTGTCCTTTTGTGACTGGGATATTTCACCCAGCATAATGTTCTCCAGAGTCAACCATTTTGAATAATATTGCATGAGTTCCTTGTTTTTTAATGCAGCATAGTATTCCATTGTGCGAATATACCACAGCTTCTCTAGCCATTCGTTTGTTGATGGGCACTTAGGTTAGATAGCACAAATTGTCAAACACTGTGGTACTAACCAAAAGGCTGACAGTTCACATCCACCTAGAAGCTCCTTGGAAGAAAAGCCAGACCAGCTGTTCCTAAAGGGGCACAGCGTTGATGACCCTGTAGTTCTACCCTGTACATACAGGGTCCTCATGAGTCAGAATCCACTCAGCAGCAACTAACATCAGACCCTAAATTCTGAGCCCGTAAGGTATGCAATTTGTGGAGGATTTAGAATAAATTTTTAAAAATAACTATTCTTTCTATATAGTTATTCGTAGCCTTCGTTCCCTAAAGGGGAGCTGTGATAGTCTAGGCCATAAGGAGCTGCACTGCTAACCCCAAACCGGGCCTCTCCGGAGGTTTGAACCCACCAGCAGCTATGCAGGAGAAGGATGAGTCTCCTTCTGAGCAGGTTACAGCCTCAAACCTGCTACAGGGTCAATTACGAGTTGCTTTCAGCTACGTGGCAATGAGTACAGTTTGTTCCCAGAAAGCTTTCAAATGAGATGGAGAATTTTCATTTTTGGAAGTTTTACACAGGAAGTCTGTGAAAAGCTGTTCAAAAAAGAACTGAAAGACAAAGCCTTTGTATAAGATAAAGTGAGAGAAAATAGAGTCACTTTGGATCCTAAAATCCAGGCAGGTGGAAGAAAAGCTGTTAAACATTAGAACAAAGATGCCTATGAAAGTGGTACTTCTTCCTCAAAGAGATGACAGTCTGTGGCCCGTGGAAACAACACTCCCACCTCTTTAAAACACAGTCAGACTCTCAAAGTTGGTTGTTGAAGAGGAGTTAAGAGAAGTGAGGTGAAATTACAAAACCTTTACATGCTCTCATGCCATCCAGTTGGAAATGACTCATCAGGATCCTCCAGTGGGTTTTCAGAGCCTGTCAATGACACTGGAGCAGGAGACTCTTACTGGTGGAAGCCAGAGGTGCCGCCTTTGGGTCAGCACTGCAGTCCAGCCCCTGGTAACCTTAAACCTCTAAAACTACCGGAAATTTCTTCCTGCCCTGGAGGTGCAAGCTTTGGCTTTGTGGAAGTAAGCCAGCAGATACAAGCACAGAGAGTCCTGCTTCAGGGAAATTGGTTCTGATTGTTCCTTATTACAACCATTAAAACAATTCCCTGTGCATCTACGTGGGTAGACTCACAATGTGCTCGACAGACATTGTGTACAGTGTCAGTGGGTATTCCTTGTGCTGTCGGAGGTGTCCACTTCTGTCTAGGAGAGAGGAGTCAGCCCCTGCTGCTGGAGGATTCATTCGGCCTTGTAGTGACCCCACAGGACAGGCTAGAACTGTCTGCCCTGGAGCATGTGGAGTCAGCATGAGTCACAATCAACTCAGCGTTAACTAACAACAGCAACATTGAATTCATGTTTATTTTATTGCAGCAATTATAGAAATAACACTAAAGATACTCTTTGTTCCTTGAAAAAAATATAAATAAAAATACATGTTTTAGATGTTTTGTTAAACTTCTGTTTTCCAGCCATGTAAAGTGATCTGTGAAACGGGAGACTGTCGGCAGCAAGAATTCCGGGATCGGGCTGGAAATTGTGTACTTTGCAGACAGTGTGGCCCGGGCATGGAGCTGTCTAAGGTACGTGCTGTATGTGTGCACCGTTTGGTGTGTGCATTTTTAAATCATTGTTCTTAGGTGTCATCGAGTCTCCTAGTGACCCTGTGAATGTCGGATCTGAACCCTGCCCTGTCCTGTGCCATCCTCATGCTCTGTTATACGTGAGCCTGTTGTTACAGCTCCCTTTCAAGCATGGTGTCCTTTTCTGAGGGCCAGCCCCTCCTAACATGCCCAAAGCATGCAAGATGGATCTTCCTCACCTTTCAGCAGCATCCTGGTTGCTCGTTCTCTGAGGCATACTTGTTTGTTCTTCTGGTGGTCTATAGGATGTTGAGGACTTTTCACCATCACTGCAGCTCAAAGGGATCTGTTCTTTTCCTCTCGTCCTCCTTCGTTGTCCAGCTTTCAGAGGGCAGTGATACCAATTTAAACACTAAGGTTTACTTGATTCAAGCCCTGGCCTTTTCAATTACTTGGTCTTGATTCAAGCATTTGAAAATGCATTCTTTAATCCTAATGACTCTCTGTCACTAGAAAATTGTTTTATTATGCTAATTTATCCAAGTAGTATATAATTTCCTTTTCAATAACTTTCAATGTGTGTGTGAAAGAAATGGGTACTGGTGACAGGAATTTTAAAATGCCTGTGGTGAGTTGCACTATTAACCCAAAGGCTGAGCTTCCCTGGTGGTTTTTATCCACCAGCAACTCTGAGAGGGAAAGATGGCTTGTCTCCTCTTGCATGACTTAGACTCTCAGGTAAACCCGATGGAGGCTCAGTTCTGACTTGATGGCAGTGAGTTTGAGGGTTTTGCAAGGTTTCTCAATGAGATAGATTGTCATGGTGGCTGAAGAAATGGACTTGAACACAGCAGTGATTGTGAGGATGATGCAGGATTGGACGGGGGTTTGTTGTGTTGTATAAAGAAAGGATGGCTATATTGTTGTAGTTGTTGTGTGCCATCAGGTGGGAAGTGATGCATAGCTGAATGTCTAGCAGATTTTCAGAGACAGTAAATCACACAGTAGGTGGCAGCTCATCTTTCTCTTGCAGAAGAGCTGGTGGATTCGAACCACTTGCCTTTGAGCTCACAGCTCAATTCCTTACCCACTTGGCTACAAACGCACTGTACCCAAAAATATAGTAGATTTCCTGAGTGGTGTAACTGAGTAATTTGTTTCCAATCAAAAGTTTAGAGATTTGAGTGTATCTAGAGGTCCTTCAGAGAAAAGACTTGGGTACCAGCCCTAAAACCTCTATTGTGTATACTTCCTCTTTTGACACACATGGGTCACCACAAGTTAGAAGTGACATCAGGGCAGTTGGTGCTTGGTATTTCATATTTATAGTATCTTATTAAAACATTTATAATGCACTGATGCCGTAAACTGATAGTGCGGCCATTTCTCAGGCCTTCTTTCTCTCCCAGTGAGTGTCACCCTTGCTGGTCAAGAAGAAAGACAGCAACAGAGTCTTAAGCCGCTCTAAGTAGTTCTTTATTTAAGTAGCTCCTAGGTGATGTAGTGTGTTAGGAGCTGTGCTAAAGACCTAAAGATGAGCAGTTCAAATCCACCAACAAGTGACTCCAAAGGAGAAAGATGCGTGTGTAAAATGGTACGTTGGAAGCCAGACGGAGGGTTGCTGTGAGTCAGAATCAACCTGATGGCTATGAATTTGAGTTTTATGTTTCAAGTTGTTCTTTGCTAGAGTTCCTTTGGCAATACAAATGTTATCACTCATCCTGTGAGAGCACTCTAAATGCACTCAGCTTAACCACTATTTATTTTTAAATCAGTGTTTTGAAGCAGCGTATATTTTAGAGTTCGTGCATTTTCTTGTAATTTTTTTTGTAAACTATGTATTCACAGGCTTTATTTGTGACCTTTTGAAGATGTTCCTCCTCACAGAGAGCCCAAGTGTCTTTGTGTTCTAAATAAAGCATCAAAGTCTTCCTGTTAGAAAAGGAACAATCCATTCCTCTTTCTTTAAAGTGACCTTTCCCCCCATAGCAACTGCCATTGTTTTGTCATTCGTAGGTTGTTTATCAATGATGGTACACAGAGGGAAAGGGGACAGTTTGCATTCTGAGGGGGCCTCTTTCTGGGTTGTGGTAAATACACAGAGCCTTTCAGTGCCCTGGGTTGTCCCTGGGGATTGAAATGGCTGGACGCAGAGCCCCAAATGACATCTGGTCAACTGTAGCATCAGTGGGTATTGTTCGGTAGCAGCTCCCATTCTCAGAAGTCTCAGGGGCTGTTGGAGATAACAAAATGTACACATTCTAGAGTCAGTGATTGAAGTAGCTCCTGACATGATAGTGCCCAAGAGGAAAAGGGATGAGCATTTTGCTTCCCTCAGCGCCCCTTTCCTGCTCTTTTAGAACTCGTGAGTCAATGCACAGGTTCTGGGTTGAGTAATATGTTCTAAGGAGACCCCTCTGGGCCTACATCCTTTGTACCAAGAGAACATAACCTCAGAATAACTGGAAGAAGCACACCCACAAAAAAAGTTTCTATTAGTGTTAATAGTTTTACTAGTATTATTCTTACTATTAAAATCTATTATTAGAAGGAAAAACTTAAGTACCTGGGTGGATAAATGGCTGAGGAAGAGCAATGACACACGCACAGTGGAATACGAGGCACTGTCAAAGAATAATGAATTTTACCAATCGTTGTTGTTATGTGCCATCAAGTCACCTGCGACTCATAGTGACCCTATGTATAACAGCCCTAAACCCTGTTCTATCCCATACTAATCTTATTGACTCTGAAACACCTATCCCCATTACTCTAGTCCTCTCCTGCGCTTTTCCTCCTCCCTCCGAAGCATGATGTCCCTCTTCAAGGACTGGTGTCTTCTTGCAATGTGCCCAAAGTATGTCAGATAAAGCTTCAGAATCCCTGCCTCCAAGGAGCAGCCTGGTTTAACCTTCTCCAGGATGAACCTGTTTGTTCTCTTAGCAGTCCATGGTATATTCAATACTCTTCTGGAGCACCACAGCTCAAAGGCATCAATTCTCCTTCCATCATCCCTAGTCATTGTACAGCTCTCTGATGCATAGCAAGTGATTGCCTGTATCAAGTGCTTCTTAGTCTGCAGACTGGCATCGTTGCTCTTTAGTACTTTGGAGAGGTCTCTGACAGCCGACTTTCCCAATGCAATACGTCTTTTAATTTCCTGGCTGCTAGTGCCAAGAGTGTTGATTGTGGAGCCAAGCAAACCAGAGCTGTTTACAATCTCAATCTTTTCACCATCCATCATGATGCTGCCGATTGGCCCAGTGGTGAGAATCTTTGTTTTCTTGATGTTGAGCTTCAATCCATATTGAAGGCTGCAGTCCTTGATCTTCTGCAGCAAGCACTTCAGGTCCTCCTCAGTTTCAGCAAGCAGGGTTGTGTCATCTGCATCATTTTACCATTATAAAATAACAAAAGAGAATCTTTTTAAATGGGAAAAAAAAGAATGATGCGTTTGAGAAACACCACCTAACATGGCTGCATCTGGAGGCCACCAGAACTCTATAATTATATAACAAACACCAAAGAAGATGCATGATGGGGAAGGCAATATATACTAAGAAACTGATCAGAACAATAGCACAAGAAGAAAGGAAGATTACAGATTGTTCATATCAAACAGTGAATAAATTATTGGACAATAAAATTGTCTAATATAATAAGAAAGGAAGATTAAAAATTATTTTTATCAAATAGTGAGAGAACTATTTTATGTATATTTCTATAATATATAATTTCCCACAAGTATCCAGAAGTATTTTTCTTTAAGGAGCAGTCTTCTCTAAATCCTGCCTCAGCTGGCCAGCTCTGTTACATTGGAGGGAGGCAGCGAAAGGAAAGGAATCCAGCAGTCTAGATGTTCTATGCTTAATTCATTTATAAGTATTCCTGTATCAGTGTTTGACATCCCTTATTTTTTCATTAAAAATGTTGATGAATCTTCTGCCAGTCCTGATGCCACATTCTTCTTCATAAAGTTCAGCCCTTTGAATGATCTGTTCTGCATACAGATTGAAAAGTATGGAAATAGGATGCATCCCTGACACATTCCTTTTCTGATTTTGAGCCATGCAACATTTCCTTGCTGTGTTCTGACAACTGCCTCCTGGTCCCCATATAGATTTCATATGAGCACAATCACATGTCCTGGGCTTCCCAATCTTCTGAAGGTTAGCCACAGTTTATTTTGATCTCCACAATCAAATGCCTTTGCATAGTCAATGAAACACCAGCATTCCTCTGGCTCTCTGTTTTCAGCCAAGATCCATCTACTTTGGCAATGATGTTCCTAGAACAAATGTCTCTTCTAAACCCAGTTTGTATTTCTGATAGTTCTCTGCTGACGTACTGTTCCAGATGCTTTTGGATAATCTTCAGCAGGATTTTGCTAAGGGAACACTTCATGGTTTAAAATTAGTAAGGGAGTGCATCAGGGTTGTATTCTCTCTCCATGCCTATTTATTCTGTATGCTGCACATTCAAGAAGCTGGACTCATTGTAGAAGGGTCTCAAATCTGAGGAAGATTCATCAATAACCTGCATTATGCAGATGATAGAACCTTGCTTGCTGAAAGTGAAGAGGACTTGAAGCACTTGTTTAAAGCACTTTGATTCAAATCAAAGAATACAGCCTTTGATACAAATTTCATCTCAATGTCAGGAAAACAAAAATTCTTACCTCTGAACCAATAGGTATCATCATGATAGATGGAGATAAGATTAAAACTGTCAACAACTTCATCTTAATTGGATCCACAGTCAATACCCTTGATACCAGAAGTCAGGAAATCGGGAGACATATTGCACTGGGAAGGATAGGCAGTCACCTCCCATGTGATTAGCTGCCTGTGAAAAGCTGCTGTAGGGTCAGCTATGGGTCAGTTCTGACTTGGTGGTACTTAACAACATCAATTGCACTGGTAAAGTCTGCAGTCAGAGATGTCTTCCAATTGTTGAGGAGCAGTGATGCCAGTTGGTGGACCAAGGTGCATCTTAATAGG